TTATATCCTTGTATTGCTACTGCTGTATCATCAAATGAATTATCTAAGTCTCAGAAATGGCTAATATATGAATGTTATCTAATGTTAGCAAGTTATTGATTTCATGAACCTTATTTCTAAGGCCACATATACAGTTGAAGTCGTAAGTTTACATACACTTATGTTGGAGTCATTAAAACTCGTTTTTCAACCACTCCACAAATGTCTTGTTAACAAACTATAGTTTTGGCAAGTCGGTTAGGATATCTACTTTGTGCATGACACAAGTAATTTTTCCAACTATTGTTTACAGACAGATTATTTCACTTATAATTCACTGTATCACAATTCCAGTGGGTCAGAAGTTTACATACACTAAGTTGACGGTGCCTTTAAACAGCTTGGAAAATTCCAGAAAATTATGTCATGGCTTTAGAAGCTTCTGATAGGCTAATTGACATAATTTGAGTCAATTGGAGGTGTACCTGTGGATGTATTTCAAGGCCTACCTTCAAACTCAGTGCCTCTTTGCTTGACATCATGGGAAAATCTAAAGAAATCAGCCACAACCTCAGAAAAACAATTGTAGGCCTCCACAAGTCTGGTTCATCCTTGCGAGCAATTTCCAAATGCCTGAAGGTACCACGTTCATCTGTACAAGCAATAGTACGCAAGTATAAACACCATGGGATCACGCAGCCATCATACCGCTCAGGAAGGAGACGCGTTCTGTCTCCTAGAGATGAACATACTTTGTTGTGAAAATTGCAGATCAATCCCAGAACAACAGCAAAGGACCTTGTGAAGATGCTGGAGGAAACAGGTACAAGAGTATCTATATCCACAGTACAACGAGTCCTACATCGACATAACCTAAAAGTCCACTCAGCAAGGAAGAAGCCACTGCTCCAAAACCGCCATAAAAAAGCCAGACTACGGTTTGCAACTGCACATGGGGACAAAGATCGTACTATTTGGAGAAATGTCCTCTGGTCTGATTAAACAAAAATAGAACTGTTTGGCCATAATGACCATCGTTATGTTTGGAGGAAAAAGGGGGATGCTTGCAAGCCGAAGAACACCATCCCAACCGTGAAGCACGGGGAAGGCAGCATCATGCTATAGGGGTGCTTTGCTGCAGGAGGGACTGGTGCACTTCACAAAATAGATGGCATCATGAGGAAGGAAAATGATGTGGATATATTGAAGCAACATCTCAAGACATTAGTCAGGAAGTTAAAGCTTGGTCGCAAATGGGTCTTCCAAATGGACAATGACCACAAGCAAACTTCCAAAGTTGTGGCAAAATGGCTTAAGGACAACAAAGTCAAGGTATTGGAGTGGCCATCACAAAGCCCTGACCTCAATCCTATAGAACATTTGTGGGCAGAACTGAAAAAGTGTGTGCTTGCAAGGAGGCCTACAAACCTGACTCAGTTACACCAGCTCTGTCAGGAGGAATGGGCCAAAATTCACCCAACTTATTGTGGGAAGCTTGTGGAAGGCTACCCGAAACGTTTGACCCAAGTTAAACAATTTAAAGGCAATGCTACCAAATACTAATTGAGTGTACGTAAACTTCTGACCCACTGGGAATGTGATGAAAGAAATAAAAGCTGAAATAAATCATTCTCTCTACTATTATTCTGACATTTCACATTCTTAAAATAAAGTGGTGATCCTAACTGACCTAAGACAGGGAATTTTTACTAGGATTAAATGTCAGGAATTGTGAAAATATGAGTTGAAAAGTATTTGGATAAGGTGTATGTAAACCTCCGACTTCAACTGTATTAATATGGGCTATTTTCAGCCCTTTCCTGGGTAGCTTGTCAGAGATAGACACAATACTAAAAAGAGCAAACAAAGCAAGATAAAAAATATATACAGTACCAGTCAAAAGTTTGGACACCTACTCTTTCCAGGGTTTTTCTTTATTTTTACTATTTTCTACATTGTATAATAATAGTGAAGACATCAAAACTATGAAATAACACATATGGAATCATGTAGTAACCAAAAAAGTGTTAAACAAATAAAAATAGATGTTATATTTGAGACTCAAGGTTAACTCTGCTGCAGAGGATAAGTTCATCAGAGTTACCAGCCTCAGAAATTGCAGCCCAAATAAATGCTTCACAGAGTTCAAGTAACAGACACATCTCAAAATCAACTGTTCAGAGGGGACTGTGTGAATCAGGCCTTCATGGTCGAATTTCTGCAAAGAAACCACTACTAAAGGACACCAATAATAAGAAGAGATCTGCTTGAGCCAAGAAACACGAGCAATGGACATTAGACCGGTGGAAATGTGTCCTTTGGTCTGGAGTCCAAATTTGAGATTTTTGGTTCCAACCGCCGTGTCTTTGTGAGACATGGTGTGGGTGAATGGATGATCTCCGCATGTGTATTTCCCACCGTAAAGCATGGAGGAGGAGGTGTTACGGTGTGGGAGTGCTTTCCTGGTGACACTGTCTGTGATTTATTTAGAATTCAAGGCACACTTAACCAGCATGGCTACCACAGCATTCTACAGCGATACGCCATCCCATCTGGTTTGGGCTTTGTGGGACTATCATTTCTTTTTCAACAGGACAATGACCCAACACACCTCCAGCCTGTGTAAGGGCTATTTGACCAAGAAGGAGAGTAATGGAGTGCTGCATCAGATGACCTGGCCTCCACAATCCCACGACCTCAACCCAATTGAGATGGTTTGGGATGAGTCGGACCACAGAGTGAAGGAAAAGCAGCCAACAAGTGCTCAGCATATGTGGGAACACCTTCAAGACTGTTGGAAAAGCATTCCAGGTGAAGCTGATTTAGAGAATGCCAAGAGTGTGCAAAGCTGTCATCAAGGCAAAGGGTGGCTATTTAAAGATTCTCAAATATAAAATATACTTTGATTTGTTTAACACTTTTTTGGTTACTACATGATTCAATGTGTTATTTCATAGTTTTGATGTCTTCACTATTATTCTACAATGTAAAAAATAGTAAAAATAAAGAAAAACCCTTGAATGAGTAGGTGTGTCCAAACGTTTGACTGGTATTGTACATTCAACCATTTAATTAATTCAACCATCAATCCATTAATCAATTGGTGTGTGTGTGTGTGTGTGTGTGCTGTGGGGTTGTGGCAACCGAGGACAGACGATTTTTACGGGCTACGCGCTTCAGAACTCAACGGTCCTGTTCTGTGAGCTTGTTTGGCCTACCACTTTGCGGCTGAGCCGTTGTTGCTCCTAGACGTTTCCACTTCACAATAACAGCACTTACAGTTGACCGGGGAAGCTCTAGCAGGGCAGAAATTTGACGAACTGACTTGTTGGAAAGGTGGCATCCTATGACGGTGCTACGTTGAAAGTCACTGAGCTCTTCAGTACGGGCAACTCTACTGGCAATGTTTGTCTATGGAGATTGCATGTATGTGTGCTCGATTTTATACACCTGTCAGCAACGGGTGGGGCTGAAAAAGCCGAATCCACTAATTTGAAGGGTTGTCCATATACTTTTGGCCATATAGCGTATGTCTGCATGTTATACACTACATGTGGTTAATATTTGTTGTACATGTTAGTGTGTGTATCCATAGTGCCTCGGCAGCTCTCATGCCTAAGAGTTCATTGATAGGAAGAGGAAAGGCAGGTTCAGTAATCAGGTTACAAAACCAGCAGATTCCATCACCTCGGGTTGTTACGATTCCTGTCTCAGCCTGGGAGAGAGATCTGTGTGTCACACTGCCCCCTTGTGGCTATACTGGCTACAGACTTCACCCTGGGCTCCTTGTGGCTGTACTGGCTACGGACTTCACTCTGGGCTGATTGCGTAAGACTGCGTGGCGTATGAGTCATCACCCTTGAGTGAGGATAGAGGGAAGGAGTGTGTGTGTGTGTCAAGGTGGAGGCTGGCTGGGCAGAGTGAGCAGCAGCGGAGGCGATGGACGATGGCATTAGGGCTTTCCCCTGTTTTTTTGTGGGACTGGAGAAGAATCACTACCTAAGCAATATGGCTTTAGTCACCCAGGGGAGAGGGAGAACACACTGCTCTGGCTGTTCGATTAGTACACCAGGTTGCCTGGTTAATGAGTCTTAAGTGAATATTGACCCATATAATACAGCTGATTTCTCAGTGGTTGTCACACAAGAAGCCCAGGCATGTTCTGCAGCTGTGGAAAGACAGAGTGCCACTGGCACTGGAGCACAGTGGACCTGGCGGGGTACATTCAGAAAGGTCAACTAGCTACGACCATAGCACACTGTGGGGGAAATGAGGACATAGTGGTTGAAGGAAAAGGAGAAACAGGAGTTGAAGAAGTAGGAGAGAAATGGGACTATATTAAGAAGGGTGACACGGTGAAATAATATGCACAAAAAGCTATGGTTAACACATTATTAAAATGTATATAGTTTTATTTTGTATCAGCTTCCTGGTCAAAAAGTACAACAAAATCTGTAATGTTACAAAACTACAAATGGTGAGTGAGTGAGTGAGAGCTTCAACACTAGGACTAGGTATGATTCAGGAGAGGGATGGATGCGGGAGCGACAGGGCAGATGAAGAGGTTTGATATGAGTGGTTATTGAGTCGTGTCCTTGGATGATAAGGAAAACTGTCATAAAGGAATGTGAATAGCATGAAAACATAGGAGTGAGAATGAGTCTGTTCAAAACAAGGGAATGAATGATTATGATACAATGATAACATAATGTTTTTTGCATCTCTCTATATCTTCAATTGGAGGGTGTTTATAAAACATATCAGGGGTTGGTACCAAAGGTTACTAGGGTAATTGTCCCTATTTGGCTCGAAGGACCATGAAAAATGGGCAATGTGGAGCGGTTGAGAATGATACTCTAGGAGGCAGGGAGCAAACATGTACAGTATGTCAATACTATTTCTGTGTGTCCTATTTCTCCTCTCTTGTGTCTATACTGTGTGTGTGTGTGTGTGTGTGTGTGTGTGTGTGTGTGTGTGTGTGTGTGTCCCTCTGTCTCTGTCTCTGACTCTCTCTCCTCCCTCTAGAAGGCATAAGGCCCTACGTAGATAGACAGTCGCAGGGCCGAACTGGTCTGGTAGCTCAGGAGGGGGTTGACTGACACCATCTCCAGGTCCAATGTGTACTCCAGGGGTCCCGTCACGGCCCGGGCTAAAACCAGCATGGCGCTGATGTTGTTGATTTGCTGAGGGAGACACAGAGATGATAGAGAGGTTAGTCAGAGTCAGTCACACTGCATTAGGCAGAAAAAGTGGGGGTTCATCTTACTAATTTCTCCTAGTCTAAAAAGTCAAGAAACGTATCTAAGTATTGTTATGATGCAAGGTCTCAAAACTGCAATACAATATGTTTCTAGACCTCCACTGTCATCATAAATTCACTAGTCTATCGTCATACACTACCAGTCAAAAGTTTGGACACACCTACTCATTCAGGGGTTTTTCTTAATTTTTTACTATTTTTTACATTGTAGAATAATAGTGAAGACATCAAAACTATGAAATAACACATATGGAATCATGTATTAACCAAAAAAGTGTTAAACAAATACAAATATATTTTATATTTGGTATTCTTCAAATAACCAGCATGGCTACCACAGCATTCTGCAGCAATACGCCATCCCATCTGGTTTGGGCTTAGTGGGACTATCATTTGTTTTTCAACAATGACCCCACACACCTCCAGACTGTGTATGGGCTATTTTACCAAGAAGGAGAGTGATGGAGTGCTGCATCAGATGACCTGGCCTCCACAATCTCCCGACCTCAACCCAAATAAGATGGTTTGGGATGAATCGGACGGCAGAGTGAAGGAAAAGCAGCCAACAAGTGCACAGTATATGTAGAAACTCCTTCAAGACTGTTGGAAAAGCATTCCAGGTGAAGCTGGTTGAGAGAATGCCAAGAGTGTGCCAAGCTGTCATCAAGGCAAAGGGTGGCTATTTGAAGAATCTCAAATATAAAATATATTTTGATTTGTTTAACACTTTTTTGGTTACTACATGATTCCATATGTGTTATTTCATAGTTTTGATGTCTTCACTATTATTCTACAATGTAGAAAATAGTGAAAATAAAGAAAAACCCTTGAATGAGTAGGTGTCCAAACTTTTGACTGGTACTGTATATTCACAAGGTGGATGGGAGGGTGACCCAGGCTGGTGCTATGCAAGGGTTGTTACACTATAGCTGTGCTCACTCTGATGTAGAAGTCTCTATTGTCGTCTCCAGAGCGGATACGGAAGGTGTTGTATGCTCCGGGGTAGACGCTGGTGGCCTGGATCTGGAAGATGTCTGAGGGGACGGAGCGCTCCGACGTGATGCTCATGTAGCGGTGGACGATAGAGAAGGGTAGGTCTCGACAGGCTGGCTTGGTCACAGGACAAACACAACGACTAGACACACAGGAGAGAAAAGTAGCAGGTTTTAGTCCTCTGGAGAGAGACTGTATATGAGTTGTGTCATAGTGGAAGTCACTTCCTGAAAATTGACCTCATTAACTAATTTGACCTCTTGACTTAATGATTAACTTTTGATTCTGTTTCATTTAAATTAAAACGGAATATTTGATCATCAATTTTTATATTTAGTGATGAATATGTCCTCTTCTGTGCTCATGCCTCTAGATAAAATGTTCAAAAGAGTAGTTAATAACTCAACCACTAGAGGGGTATATTGCAATACAGAAGGAGCATGGTGAACTATCCTCAAACCAAGACGAATTACATACAACTGTATTTGAACAGTGGCCATTTCCCCAAGTATTTTTCTGAAACTTTTTTCATACAGCCAAAACAAGCTGAGGGAAACAAACCACTGTCTACACATGTTATCAATTTAACACTTGTTTCACTCTTCTAACAGCATTCTAATTGTACTGGAACACGTTCACTATTCTAACAGCATTCTAATTGTACTGGAACACGTTCAACTGAAAAGGGCACAGAATTGGAGAGAGATATGGAAAAAGTAATTGGAGCAATCTCAGAAATAATGTGAGCTGTGAGAGAGGCTGATGATGAGGTTGATAATGGGAAAAATATGTTGAGTCCCTGTGTGTGTGTGTGTGTGTGTGTGTGTGTGTGTGTGTGTGTGTGTGTGTGTGTGCGTGTGTGTGTGTGTGTGTGTGTGTGTGTGTGTGTGTGTGTGCGTGCGTGCGTGCGTGCGTGCGTGCGTGCGTGCGTGCGTGTGTGTGTGCGCGCGCGTGTGTATATATGTGTGTGTGCATGTGTTTTAATAAATGTTCACTCACTTGTCAGTTACTTGGACGTAAGGGTCCTGGCAGCGGTTGGTGTCCACACACTGATAGGCACCGTGGATATTCACACAGTTTTGTCCTTCAGTACACTGGTGCTCTCCAGTCTCACACTCATTTATATCTGGGGAGGAGAGGGATAGAGAAAAGGTTTGGAAAGGGAAGGTTAGAATACAATAGGACAGAATCCAAATGAATAGAATCAAAGAGAATACTTCATTGTCCACTAACGAGGACAACGAAAGAACACACAGGTACAATTAGCTGACATTGAAGTGAAGGATGGGTAAAAGGTGTTCAAAAACAATGAGAAGGAGAACAGATGGAGAGGGTGCTTACCCTGGCATAGTCGTGTGCCCAGCAGCTGGTAGCCTTCTGGGCACTGACAGGAGAATTTCCCGGGTTCATTGACACATTGGAACTGGCACAGGTAACTGGAGTAGCTGCACTCATCTATGTCTGCAGAACACAGGAGGGAGAGAGAGGGGAACGACGTTTAAGATCGTAGCACAGCTGTTTTAACCAAGAAACAGACAGAGAGCTTTTAAAAATGCAAGAAATAAAGAGATGGGTTTTTTTTTTCAGCTCGTATCACTGCTATTTTAATGGCATTATAGAGACAGACAGACAAACAGATCCTCTCACCATTGCAGGTGAAGCCGTCAGGCCCCAGCTCGTAGCCCTGGTCACAGCGACAGAGGAAGGTACCGTAGGTGTTATAACACCTCTGCTGACAGGGGGCGCCCATGTCACACTCATTCACATCTGGAAGGCGAGGGAGAAGTCTATCAGTATATATATTTTCTAACATCAGTCTGGACAGTGTGGGACTCTGTGTGCTTTTGGCTGGTTGTGGCTATTCGTTTTACCATGACTCTATGTGTATACTGTATGCGGTATTGCCTGCGTGTGTGCGTGCGTGCGTGCATGCGTGACTGCGTGCGTGCGCATGTGTGTGTGTGTCTGACCATGCCTTACCAATACAGGAGCGGTTGTTGCCGGCCAGCTGGAAGCCTGGTTCACACTGACAGGAGAAGGAGCCGGGGACGTTGACACAGCGATGCTGACAGTACCTGTACCTGCACTCGTCAATGTCTAACAACACAGATGGAAGGAGAGCATTCAGAAACAGTTCCAGAGAGAAAGAGGAGATTCCTTTGACCAACCAGGTTGTTATGGTAAAGGAGAATTTGATCCAAAGGACTTTCCTGGTTAAATAGAGGTCAAATAACATGCTACAATGACTAAGCTGAACCACAACAATGCAGTGAGACCGCAAACAGTGAGTTGGTGTGACTCAGGCTGGTGGGTAGGCTGGTTAGAGGGAGTCCTATGGGGAGTACTATACACGCTTAGAAAAAAAGGTGCTATCTAGAACCTAAAAGGGTTCTTCGGCTGTCCCCATAGGAGAACCCTTTTTAGAACCCTTTTTGGTTCCAGGTAGAATCCTTTCCCCAGAGAGTTCTACATGGAACCCAAAATAGTTCTACCTGGAACCAAAAAGGGTTATCCTATGGAGACAGCCAAATAACCCTTTTAGAACCCTTTTTAAGAGTGTAGGATGACTTACCAATGCACTCGGTGCCAACCTTGCGGTAACCATCAGGACACTGGCAGGTGAAGGCTCCAGGTGTGTTGATGCACTGCTGGCTGGGCTGGCAGTCGTGTTCATCTCTCTCACACTCATTCACGTCTGTGTGATATGGCAATAAAACATGGTAAGTTAATACAGTTAATGCACCAACAGCTGAGAATTCCCCACATTGTTGAATCATTATTCCTGTCTCATGCATTCCCCATCAACAACACCTACCACCCCGACCCCCAGGACAACAGGACAAGCAGCTCTCTCACCACTCTCGGTCCCATAAAACTAAGCGCAGCTGTCCTCATGTGAAATCTCCACATTCCAGTACCAGCTATCCACCCCCCACAGACAAATACTCACACCCAACCACACAGACTCAACACAACCCCCCAACACACACACCTGTTACAGCCACCTATCCCACAATAGTCTGCAATCATCCAGACTATATGGTCATTGCCCAATAACAAACATGCACGCAGACACGCACACATGCACACGCACACGCACGCACACACACACACACACACACACACACACACACACACACAATTATCCCTCCCCCTGTCTCACCCTCCAGCCGGTACTCACCCACACAGCTGTCTCCCTGGGGTTCGTAGCCCAGAGGACAGGGGTTGAAGGGCTCTCTGGCAGTGCTCTCCAGGTTGGTCCCAGGCTGGCTGGGGGGGTCCGGGGCTGGGATGACTGAGGCAGAGCGGGGGAGGCACAGGTAGCCCCCGTAGTGGTTGAAGCACTTCATCTCACCCTTACAGGCCTCCGGAATGGTCTCACATTCATTTATGTCTGACGGGAGAGAGGGAGAGACAGTGAGAGCGTGAAGGAAAAGGACTGAAAGACAAGAGTGGTTTCAAGTTGTAATGCTCTCACTCAGGGCATGGACATGGGGACATGAGGATAAACGAAAGCCTTTACCTTTGCAGTGCTGAGTCTGAGAGTCCCATTGATACCCATCTGTGCATTCCTACAGATAGCAGGAGAGAGAGAGAGAGAGTCTCATGTACTGTATCATCCAAATCACCTTTCATGTAAAGCTATTATGTGCACTTTAAATCACGGCTGTCCACTGTCACACCAACAGGATGAGAGGGGAGAGGAAATTATCTTACATAGTCATGAGCACAGAGAACAGGGGAAAGTAAAAGGGGGAGACTTCAGAGGACAGCGAAGGTCAACAGAGAAGAGAAGAGCAGCTGCAGTAGAAAAAGGGGTCAAATCATCAGTCTGGTGCATGGTGGGAGGGGGACGAAAAGATGGAAAGGGAGGAGACAGGGATTTGGAGAGTGAGAGAAGGAGGGTCCTGGTTTGCGTGCCAAAATACCCATCCTTACCGTGTAGGTGTCACTTTCTGTAGGTGGCTGTGAAATAGCACTGCGGAGGAACACAGAGACACACAGGATCGACACACACACGCCCCGCATGCTCACGTACTGACTGGCAGATAGGACAGGATCACACACGTTAACACACAACACACACTGGCACAGCCGGCGGGTCAGACAGGTAGCGGCGCCTCAGGTCAGGATGAGAGAAGCCGACGACTTGTTGTGGTGCTTAGAGCAGCTCAATGGTATCTGTAGAAAGAGAAAAGGGAGAGAGAGAGAGAGAGAGAGAGAGAGAGAGAGAGAGAGAGAGAGAGAGAGAGAGAGAGAGAGAGAGAGAGAGAGAGAGAGAGAGAGAATTAGATACTCAGGAGATTCATTAACCTGGTTTGAGAAGACTTCAGAAAGAGATAGACTCAACAACCTAAGTTGTAAATCACCCACTTCATAAACTTCTAATAACACTGTGCTGTGTGTTGCCAGGCTCAGAGCAGAAGTCAAGTCACACAAGTCACATGTGACTCAGACGTCAGTCATTATTTGCTAATCGAACATCTTTCCCCCTGAATCCCCACCAGTATGATGGAGAGGAAGTCCGTCTCCCCCTGCTGGTGAAAGGTAAATGTAAGGATGTACTCCATCCATCAGCTACAAATATAGAAAAGTCAACAGCGCGGAAATGCTTTCATTATAGCTCTCCACAGACAGCCATCTATTTCCCCAGACAGGCCCACTGTAACTGGGACTAGGAATGCACACACACATACACACATACGCTGCACGCACGCACGCACGCACGCACGCACGCACACCCACACACAAACGGAAACGCCCATACACACACACAAGCCCGCTGGGACTTCACATTGAAAACCTGTGGAGGCTGAACCTACAGTATACCAGAGTGGGCCACTAAACACAGTAAACCTGTAAGAGCTTCTAAATCTCAGGGTATTATCTGTCAATTTCAATACATCACTTTCCGTTTTCCCTGACGCCGCAGGCTCTGACACTGGTTTCTGCTTTGTTCATCCATCTACATCACTGTTTTTAGTACCACATTGTTGTCTTTCTCTGAGTCTGGCATCATTCATCATCATGGCTAGTGTGTTATTCACTGAAGTACTGCATGTGGAGGTGGAAGCACAACTGTTTAAGTAGATCATGTACCTAGACAAATAAATCCTCTATTCCAGCTCCCCATTTCTGAGTAACCGTTGTTCGTACAAAACCGTCAGAAGAGGCTCCAGACAGAATAGATGAAGAGGAACGTTATAATCATTGCTTTCTTTATGCGTACACACACAAAACCGTATGGTCAGACTGAGTGCTGCAACACTCAACCACTTGTCGCACCCCATGCATGCGAATGCACGCACGCACACACACACACGCACGCACGCACAGGCTCACACACCCACACATTTTAAATACTTTATTGAATCCACCAATCAAATTACATCACGAAGGACTCAACCATTTCAAGGGTAATTGACACAAGGACACTCACGGGAACAAAAAGCGCTTTCTCCTCCACACAGCTATGCTGCCCATAACCGCCGAAACAGAGAAGTACCTAGCCACATCTACTGTACACACACACACACACAAACCTCAAAGGTCATGTTGGGTATTATGTTAATTAACAAACAAGAAGCCAAAGAGTGATGTGCTTACCACACATAAATACTGTCTCACATCACACTCCAAATGTAGCCTTACCTTCGCTCAGAAGCACCAAAACCAACAGCAAATGTTCCACAAAGTTCCCAGGACAAGTACCCACGCAGTACACACAATGCACCTATCACACAACTTCACAATCTTTCATACACTCACAAAAGTCTTATAGTGGGCCTTGCATCATATCATCTTCAATAGGTCTGCATCATATTCAGGAAGATTTACACACACTTTCCCCTTGGACAATTATATACAGCCACGATATGCGGACACGTCAGAATCCTTGTTGGCACTGTGGTACTCTTATAGCCGGGGAGGGGGGGTGGGGGGGGGGGGGTCTGACCTAAAACCACCAAAAAACAAACTGTCCGCCAGTTGAGAGTCCACTCACTTAGTCACCCAGGACTGTGGGCAGCAGAGAGAAGTGGGTAGGTACTGCCCCGCCACCTCTGAACAGTGAGCACCAAGTGGAGTTTGGACCTCTGGAATGCCCGTGGCAAGGATGTGGGCTGCAGTTCCCAGTAGGGATACCCTGCCATCAGTGTTTCCCAGAGTATCAGGTTCTGGGAAAGCCCCCCATGGTTCATGTAGAACCACAGCTGCTGCCAACCCTACAGCCTCTGGTCTCTGACTGGGAGGATGGTTCATCACTCTGACAGTCCTCCAAAGGTCAACCACTGGTCTGTTCATTGTTTGTGGTTATGGTTACGACAAGCGTTGGTGAAGAAATATATGATTTCATTGAAATGGAGTTATAGTTGTATTACTAAAGGAAAATGGGAAGCATGACTAACTTGTTATTTGACAGAAGTGTAGCACCATGTAGTTTACATTTTTTCACAGAAATATATATATACAGTGGGGAAAAAAAGTTTTTAGTCAGCCACCAATTGTGCAAGTTCTCCCACTTAAAAAGATGAGAGAGGCCTGTAATTTTCATCATAGGTACATGTCAACTATGACAGACAAATTGAGATTTTTTTTCTCCAGAAAATCCCATTGTAGGATTTTTAATGAATTTATTTGCAAATTATGGTGGAAAATAAGTATTTGGTCAATAACAAAAGTTTCTCAATACTTTGTAATATACCCTTTGTTGGCAATGACACAGGTCAAACGTTTTCTGTAAAAGTCTTCACAAGGTTTTCACACACTGTTGCTGGTATTTTGGCCCATTCCTCCATGCAGATCTCCTCTAGAGCAGTGATGTTTTGGGGCTGTCGCTGGGCAAGACGGACTTTCAACTCCCTCCAAAGATTTTCTATGGGGTTGAGATCTGGAGACTGGCTAGGCCACTCCAGGACCTTGAAATGCTTCTTACGAAGCCACTCCTTCGTTGCCCGGGCGGTGTGTTTGGGATCATTGTCATGCTGAAAGACCCAGCCACGTTTCATCTTCAATGCCCTTGCTGATGGAAGGAGGTTTTCACTCAGAATCTCACGATACATGGCCCCATTCATTCTTTCCTTTACACGGATCAGTCGTCCTGGTCCCTTTGCAGAAAAACAGCCCCAATGCATGATGTTTCCACCCCCATGCTTCACAGTAGGTATGGTGTTCTTTGGATGCAACTCAGCATTCTTTGTCCTCCAAACACGACGAGTTGAGTTTTTACCAAAAAGTTATATTTTGGTTTCATCTGACCATATGACATTCTCCCAATCCTCTTCTGGATCATCCAAATGCACTCTAGCAAACTTCAGACGGGCCTGGACATGTACTGGCTTAACCCTCCCGTTGTCCTAGGGTCAAAATGACCCGCCACTGTGTTTGACCAACTTTATTTAATTTTTACATTTTTGGGATCATTTGTGAGAAGGAGGCAGTGATACTTTCTTTATAGTCTCACTGCCTCCTTCTCACAAATGATCCCCAAAATATAAAAATTAAATAAAGTTGGTTCAACACAGTGGCGGGTCATTTTGACCCTAGGACAACGGGAGGGTTAAGTAGGGGGACACGTCTGGCACTGCAGGATTTGAGTCCCTGGCGGCGTAGTGTGTTACTGATGGTAGGCTTTGTTACTTTGGTCCCAGCTCTCTGCAGGTCATTCACTAGGTCCGCCCGTGTGGTTCTGGGATTTTTGCTCACCGTTCTTGTGATAATTTTGACCCCACGGGGTGAGATCTTGCGTGGAGCCCCAGATCGAGGGAGATTATCAGTGGTCTTGTATGTCTTCCATTTCCTATTAATTGCTCCCACAGTTGATTTCTTCAAACCAAGCTGCTTCCCTATTGCAGATTCAGTCTTCCCAGCCCGCTGCAGGTCTACAATTTTGTTTCTGGTGTCCTTTGACAGCTCTTTGGTCTTGTCCATAGTGGAGTTTGGAGTGTGACTGTTTGAGGTTGTGGACAGGTGTCTTTTATACTGATAACAAGTTCAAACAGGTGCCATTAATACAGGTAACGAGTGGAGGACAGAGGAGCCTCTTAAAGAAGAAGTTACAGGTCTGTGAGAGCCAGAAATCTTGCTTGTTTGTAGGTGACCAAATACTTATTTTCCACCATTATTTGCAAATAAATTCATAAAAAATCCTACAATGTGATTTTCTGGATTTTTTTTCTCAATTTGTCTGTCATAGTTGACGTGTACCTATGATGTAAATTACAAGCCTCTCTCATCTTTTTAAGTGGGAGAACTTGCACAATTGGTGGCTGACTAAATACTTTTTTCCCCAGTGTATATATATATATATATATATATATATATATATACAGTGAGGGAAAAAAGTACATGTATATAAACACACTACCAGTCAAAAGTTTGGACACACCTACTCATTCAAGTGTTTTTCTTAATTTTTTACAATTTGTTACATTGTAGAATAATAGTGAAGACATCAAAACTATGAAATAACACATATGGAATCATGTAGTAAACAAAAAAAGTGTTAAACAAATCAAAATATATTTTATATTTGAGATTCTTCAAATAGCCACCTTTTGCCTTGATGACAGCTTTGCACACTCTTGGCATTCTCTCAACCAGCTTCATGAGGTAGTCACCTGGAATGCCTTTGAATTAACAGGTGTGCCTTCTTAAAAGTTCATTTGTGGAATTTCTTTCCTTCTTAATGCGTTTGAGCCAATCAGTTGTGTTGTGACAAGGTGGGGGGGGGGGGGGGGGGGGTATACAGAAGATAGCCCTATTTGGTGAAAGACCAAGTCCATATTATAGCAAGAACAGCTCAAATAAGCAAAGAGAAACAACATTCCATAATTACTTTAAGAAATGAAGGTCAGTTAATACTGAACATTTCAAAAACGTTGAAAGTTTCTTAATGTGCAGTCGCAAAAACCATCAAGCGAAATGATGAAACTGGCTCTCATGAGGACAGCCACAGGAATGGAAGACCCAGAGTTACCTCTGCAGTTCATTAGAGTTACCCGCCTCAGAAATTGCAGCCCAAATAAATG